TATTTGAATTTTTTTGGAGAAAAATCTTTATTTTTTTAAATAGATTTATTTATTTTTATTACAAAGTCAGATATACAGAGAGGAGGAGAGACAGAAAAATCTTCTGTCCAATGATTCACTCCCCAAGTGAGTGCAACAGCCGGTGCTGCACTGATCCATGATCCAAAGCCGGGTATTGGGAACCTCTTCCAGGTTTCCCATGCAGGTGCAGGGTCCCAAGGCTTTGGGTCATCCTTGACAGGGAGCTAGATGGGAAGTGGAGCTGCTAGGATTAGAACCGACGCCCATATGGGGTCCCAGCGCATTCAAGGCGAGGACTTTAGCCGATAGGCCACAGTGCCGGGCCCATTGGAGAAAAATCTATTCAGATCCTTTGCCCATGAACTCAAATTTTTTGTTGCTGAGCTTCTGCTTATTCATAATTTTTGAATTTGAGAGAGAGGGAGGAGGAAAAAAAAGAGAGATAGAGAGAAAACCAATTAGTTGGTTCTTTCCCCAAATGCTTGCAATGGTTGTGTGGCGTTGAAGCTAAAACTCCCACATCAGTGGCAAGTATTGTGTTACCTGAGCCATCACCAGGGTCTCCCAATATCTACATTAGCAAGAAGCTGATGTCAAGAGCCTAAGCCAGGTATTAAACCCAGGTACTTTGATGTGGAAGGCTGGCATCTTTTTTTTTTTTTTTAAGATTTATTTATTTTTATTGCAAAGTCGGATATGTAGAGAGTAGGAGAGACAGAGAGGAAGATCTTCCATGTGATGATTCACTCCCCAAGTGGCCACAACGGGTGGAGCTGAGCCATTCTGAAGCCAGGAGCCAGGAGCTCTTCTGGGTCTTCTGCACAGGTGCAGGGTCCCAAGGCTTTGGGCCGTCCTCCAGTGCTTTATCAGTCTGTAAGTAGTAAGCTGGTGGGAAGTGGAGCAGCCAGGCTATGAACTGGCACACATATGGGATCCTGGTGCTTAGAGGGTAGGGATTCGGCCTGTTGAGCTATTGCACTGGGCCTTTACTTCTGGGACTCCAACCCAGGTGCTGCGGTGTGAGGTGTGGGCAGCCCAAGTAGTGTCTTAAATATGGTACCAACACCTGCCTCCAGTTATCATTTTTTTTTTAAGATTTATTTTTATTATTTTTTTATTGGAAAGGCAGATATACAGAGAGGAGAGACAGAGAGGAAGATCTTCCGTCCAATGATTCACTCCCCAAGTGAGCGCAACGAGCCGATACTATGCCGATCCGAAGCCAGGAGCCTCTTCCGGGTCTCCCACACGGGTGCAGGGTCCCAAAGCCTTGGGCCATCCTCGACTGCCTTCCCGGGCCACAGGCAGGGAGCTGGAAGGGAAGCGGGGCTGCCGGGATTAGAACCGGCGCCCATATGGGATCCCGGGTGTGCAAGGCGAGGACCTTTAACCACTTGCGCCACCGTGCCGGGCCCTCCAGTTATCATTTTTAAGAATAACTTCGGAGGCCCCTCAGCACAGCTGTTCCTAGGTTTCATGCCTGGAAAATTTACCTTAGCCTCCAGCTTTGGAGCGGAAATATGGTTAGCTAGACTTGGAAAAAGGCAGTGGGCAATTCTGTTTGGAAGTTTGTGTTCTGCCGCCCTTGCGCTTTGTGACCATGGACAAGTGTCTTTCAATGTCTGGACTCATTTCCTGATCTGTTGATAAGTTAGCAGATTGGGCTAGGTGATCTCTGAGGGCCCTGCAAGTGGTAATGTTTTGTGAATCTAGAGTCCTAAGCGAATGCCTTAGCCAGCAGCCAGCAGATCCTCTTTTGCAATTTCAACTTCCTTCCCTTTTGCTCCCTGTTTCTTGAGTGTTTCCGTGGTTACCACAATATATGGATTTTAATCACGTTTAGTTTTTTTGCTTGTACTATGCAAAGAAACTCTTTAAGGCAATTTTTTTTGTTGTTGTTAAGCAGAGTGCATTCTATCAAAGAAGTTAAAATTCTCTTTGTTTTTTCTTGGAGGTGTGTGTATGTGTGTGTGTGCGCCTTGTGCTTCAGTTGTCACCTGCTGCCTCCCATTGCGCATTTCACCAGGAAGCTGGACTCAGGAACAAAGCTTGGTACCATCACCTGTGGGATGGGGCATCCTCAACAGTGTGTCACTGTTGTCATTTGACCATTTCTTAACTTACAAAGTAGGTCATTTCATATAGGTAAATTAAAAATATAAGTGAAGGTACTAGAGAAGGAAAGGTGTCCTCCAAATACATTGATGATAGTCATTTTTGATGGGTTTTCCTCCTCCTTTAGCTGCACTTTCTAGGAACAATTTAAGTACTTTTACACAGTTCCCTACAAGGGCATTCCACTGTGTGAACACTAATTCTCATGTTGCTGCAGCTTGTGTGTCATTTTTGTTCAGAATGTCAAACATGACTGGTTTTGTGACCCATGGTGGGATGCTATGCTGTTCTCTTCCAGCACTTTGTGGAACTTGGCTTGGTCTCTGCTCCGCAGTGGTGACTATTCAGAACCCTTGGTGGGAGGGCCCCGTGTTTCCAAGCCGTCTTCAGCTCTTGCTGCCCTCCACTCCACAACAGAGCTTTTCCATGAATCCTATCACCAGGGCTTCGGGCCAGCTGTGTCCCTAATCCACGCAAGGCCCAGATCTGGATAGGGTTCAGACTCTAACTGTCCCCTTCAATCCCATCCCTTTCAGGTCACTGGAGGCCTCTTCTGCCCTCCCAAACCCTCCCCACTGGTTACCACCTCATTTCCCCATCTAGTTTCCCTCTATTTGGTGCAGCTGGTGTTTGCTTTCACTGAGCTCCTTTCGCAAAGGGGAAGGATTAAGATCCTTTCATGCACTTTTTTTTTTTCTTTTTTGCTTAGTGCCCTTGACTGCTCCAGGGGCTAACAGGCAGCCAGCAGGGCCTGTATTCCCTAGGAAGGAACAGGAGGGGTTGTGGGGAGTTAGTGGTGGGCTCAGCTGGCAGGCGGGATGGAGATGGCCCCTAGAGACCATCTTAGCCCGGGATCATGGCACAGCTGCCACCAGACGTAAGCATGGAGCCGAGGTGTTTCTGCCTAGGAAGTCAGCCTCAGTGAGGGTGGCTGCAGCCACTAAACTTGGTATCCAGGGCAGCTTCCGCAGGGCAAGCTGCCAACTGCATATCTGGTTTGTAGGAGTCTGAGGGGGCAGGTGGGTTCATCACCTTAATTCCCACTCCTGTGTGTGACGGCTCTGGCCGCAGTCAGTGAAGTCCACTGCAACAGGTGACAGTGTATATCCAATGTATAAGAAAAATCCCTCAAGTCATGATGGTACTCTACGAACTCCTTGCATCTCTAGGCTAAGAATTAAAAGTCAGCATTGGAATTCAGGTTTTTCCGATTCTATTGCCTGAGTAACATTTTGGTGTGGTGTTGAATGGCACTCTGCAGTATTTTTTTCTTTGAAAGATTTATTTTATTTATTGGAAAGCCAGAGTTAGAGAGAGAGGGAGAGAGAGAGAGAGAATGGATCTTCTATTTGTTGGTTCATTTCCCAAATGGTTGCAATGACTGGGCTAGCAACCAGGAACTTCGTTTAGGGGTCTGCCACGTGAGCACAGGGGCCATCTTCCACTGTTTTCCGGGGTGCACTAACACAGAGATAGATGACAAGTGGAGCAGTTGGGACTCAAACTGATACTGTATGGGATGCCAGCGTTGCAAGCCATGGCATAATACACAGCATCACAACGGCAGCCCTGGAACTCAGAATTTGTGTGACTCATACATGCTCTGTGTTTTTTTTTTTTTTTAAACTAATTCGAAAGCCAGAGAAAAGCAAGCTTCCATCCACTGGTTCATTCCAAATGCTTGAAACAGCAGAAACTAGGGGTTTGGCCCAAGTCAGGCGCCGGGAACTCATTCTAGGTCGGCTGTGTGGGTGGCAGGCACTCAATCACTGAGCTACCACCTGTTGTCTCTCAGGGTCTGATTTAGCAGAAAGCGATGTGGTCATCTTAACCTATGGGTCAAACACCCAACCTGCTTAACCCGGTTATGGGGGTTCTGGACTGAGAAAGCCAAGCACCCCGGGAGGGCTGCTGCCTGGGAAGTGAGCCCAGGCAGCCTGAGCTGAGATTGTGATGAGATTCCAGGAGGCAGCCCAGCTGGCATGAATGGGCTCCGATGTCAGATTGCCTGGCTTCTTATCCTGGCAGGTCGAGGTCTCTCGGCTTCAGTTTCCTCATCTCAAAAAAAGCAGTCCTAGAACCTATCTTCCCTTATAAGCCTCCTGCGTCAGAGTCTTCTTTCTGCTCCGCGGGGCGCCCAGCAGCCTGCAGAGACCAGCCTGGTAGGGAGCCGAAGGGTCCAGGGGCCGCTGCAATTGCTGGATGGAAATAAATGCACACAGCCGACAACTGTCAGAGCAACACGGTGGAATCAGGAGACGTTTCAGTGCAAAAGACAGCTGAAGTCACGGCGCAGCCTCAGCACTTAGGGTCCATCCCAGGCCTTGGTGCAAGATCACGGAATGTCGGGCATAGGTGCGAGCTAGGACAAGCTGAGGTCCGCACAAGCCGAGGTCACCGGGCACCTCACGGGGCAGGCTCTCCATGAGTTCTTCTTCCTTGAAGCTTCCAAATGTAAGGCCTCTTACCTGGTCCTCCTCCGGCAGGAAAAGGCCTCCCCTTCATCCAGCGCATCACCTGCTTCGTATCCCACGTGGGTGCTGGTTCCAGACCGGGTTCGACCTACGCATGCGCACAGGCAGCCGGGAGGCCCCCTCGCTTTTCCCCATTTTTGTTTTTTCCTTCCCCTCTCCTCTCCTTACCCACCTAAGGGGGGGGGGGAGGGGACGGAAAACGAGGGAAGCAGAACTTGGCTCGAGCCAATAGGCTGGCGGGCCGCGGGCCCGGCCCCCTCCTTCCCTCCGGCGCGGTCCAATAGGAATTTACTACAATGTTGTGGCGAGCGTCAGGGGAGGGGCGCGCGCGGGCGGGCGGGCTGCGGGCCGGGCCGGCCTCGCCTCGCGGAGGGAAGGCGGGAGGGCGCGCGCCAGGGCTGCTGCTGCTGCTCGCTCCCTCCCTCCGCCGGTGGGTTCAGTCAGTCAGCCGGCAGCCCGCAGGCCCGCGAGCCGCACAGGGCCCGAGCCTCGGACGCCGGCGCCTCCTCCTGCCATTGTTCCTCTGGCTGAAGCGGCGGCGGCGGACGCGGGAGCCCGGGCCCCGGGAGCTACCGGTGAGGAGGAGGAGGAAGCGGCTGCGCTCGAGCTGGGGTGTGTGGTGGGCGGGCGCGGGGGGCGCAGCGCTGTCCCCGAGAGGACGGTCCAGGCGGTGGCTACGGTGCCGCAAGCTCTTTGTCTCCAGCCCCCGCAGGCTCGGGGCCGGGGGCGCTGGTTGCTCCGCTGAGGGGCCTCGTCCGTCCGGTGGGGCGCTGAGGGGCCGCGGCCGGGGCTGGGGACTCGGCTTGGAGGAACCCAGGGCTCGCCGGGGGCTGCAGAGGACAGGGGGCCGGGGTTGTGCCGGAGGAGCGTTTGAAAGTTGTCTTTCTGACGAGCCCCCCCACCCTCCACACACCCCGGGTCTGTCAGCCGTAGCACGGTGGGCGCGAGCCGGCGACCCCATGGGGGGAGCCTTGCAGGTTTCGGACGGTGACGGCGTTGGGTGCTGCTGCGGAGCGAGCTCTTCTTCGTGACCAGGGTGCGGGGCTGTTTGCAGAAGTCGGGTGGGATCTGCAGGGTGGAGGGAGCCCTCGCAGGACTTCGAGGCCTTCCCGCCACAGACACCTGCATCGTTAATAAATAAATAAAAATCTCCCAGACCGGAGGGATCCGGTGTATTCCCCCTCTGGGGTTACGGATCTCAGTGAGCAAAGGGTTAAGCCGGTTCGGGGAGCGTCGTGACCTGCTTTTCTAGGCGTGCATCTGCCAGCTTGGAAATCTTGGCCGGTGCTGGCCGGGCCCCTACACCTGTGGAGAGACCTGGCTGCCCGCTCGCCCACCCGGGGTGGAACCAGGCCTTTCCTCCCCGGGGGACATTTCCTCCGTTCAGGGATCCCTATTGCTTGGCACGGGCATTCTTGGGGGCGCAGAAGGAGAAAGTGACCCCATTCGCTGCCAATTTGCTGACGGCTGGGGTTCTGCCCCCCAGATAGCGACTGTCACCCTGCCATGTCTCCTGTGCCCTCCTACAAATGACTAGTCTGTGGAGACTTGTCAGTTTTTGGCAAGTATTGCTGATTAGGAGATAGATTTCTTCAATTTCTTCTTCTTTTTTTTTTTTTAAGAGATGCTGAGCTTTTTTTTAGTAGTCTGGGTGATTTCACAGCCGCTATTTCTTCCTTCTGTTTTTGGGGAAATTGCAAGAAATGGTTGTGTCTTGTCTTGGAGATTATGCTAGTGGGTTTATATGCTCTTGAGGACATACCGTACTCAATGCTGGTTTTTTTTGTTGTTGTAACTATATTCTCAGGAGTGGCAAGCATTTTCTTTGGTTTGATTTTTTTTTTTTCCTCAAGGAGGATTGATCCATTAATGTAGCATTAATGCTAAATCTAATGGAAACTTAATGTCCTTTTCTTTAAGCTGAAAACACAATAAATTTCTTTGCCAGGTATGACGTGTGGATTGATGGGCTAGTTTCTTAGGGTGATACTCAAATACTACATGCATACTATGTAACAGACTGGCACACAGCAAACACTCAGATGGCCCGAGAAATGGATATGATATTTGAATATCAGATTACCATAGAATCAAAGTGCTAACTTAGCGTGTTTTCTACCAGAAGCTTGTAATTAAAGATAGACATATTTGTAGCTGAGTATTCTGTGCCTTTGCCAGTCATAAGAGTAAACTCACTCTTGGATCCAAGTTCAGAATGCAAACCTTTTCATTTTTTTTTTTTCTAACAAAGTCATACTTTTCTTTTTGTGATTGATTTCAGGCTTAGAAATAAATGTTTTTAATTGTTAGGTCTCACCAAAATTCTCCTAACACTTATTTCAGTGTTGTATACCACGTGTCTTAGAGATAACTTCTTGCACGTGCTGGCCAAATCTGTCTTTCCGTTGGTATTCACCTGATTCCTTGAATTCTCCAACCACCTTGACGTGCGCCCATTTGCTCTCTCTGCATCTTTGAACATACTGTTCCATCTGTACTTTTTCATTGATATTCCTTTTATTTTCTGTTTCCTTGAAAATGTTTGGTGTATTGATAACCTTAAGTTTGGGGAAAAGTGTTGTGTGGGGAAGGAACTTGATGGACCTGTTTGGTTTTTAGTTTTCCTTGAGCCTTGTTAGTGTGGCCAACTAGGTGAGTTTGCTTTAGTTTATTGAAAGGATTTAGGCTTTTAGTACCCCATCAGTTGTGTGGCATTTAGTGGTAGATGATGGCCTGTGGTGGATTAAGAAAACCTTTTACTGAGTAGGAATTTGGCCTAGGGGTGGAGAACCTGGTTAGGATGCGCCCCCCCCCCCCACCACATCCGAGCACCTGCATTTGATTCTTAGCTGTGATCCCAGCTTGAGCAGCAGCAGTGGGGACCTCTGTGACGGGGTTTCTGCCACCGCTTTTGGTGTCCTGGATTAAGTGCCCAGCTCCAGACATTTGGGGGGTGAACCATTGAGACTTCCATTCTGCACAGAACTAAAAATTTCATCATTGGATGGGCTTGATGTGTGGAAACTCTGGCTGTTTGTAAGCAATAGCAAAGTTTTATCTTTTAGGTGGATATCTGTTTGCTTTCTGCATTTGTTCTCCTTTATGGGCCAAGGGCCAGTATTTTCTTAATGTTTGTTAAACACCCAAGTCATGTTTATTTAAGGAAAATAAGAATTTTTTTAAAAATAAAGATTTAGTGTTCAGCTGCTCTGAAGCTGGGAGCCAGGAGCTTCTTCTGGGTCTCTCACATTAGTCCCAAAGACTTGGCCCACCGCCCCCGCTGCTTTCCCAGGCCATAAGCAGGGAGCTGGATTGAAAGTGGAACAGCCAGGATACAAACTGGTACCTATATGGAATGCTGGCTCCACAGGGTAGAAGATTAGCCTAATGTGCCACTGTGCTGCTCCAAGAATCAGCATTTTAAATATGCCTACCCTGAATTGTAAAATGATGTAAAGTTTTATATGATAGTATAAAAATCATTGCTTTTGCATATTTAAAATTGCATTAAAGCTAAAATTGCTTTCATTGTATTTTCATTTTAATAAATAATCTAAACAATAGCTAAATTAATAACTGATTTTAAATGATTCCTCTGAAAAAAGATTGTGGCATATTTTTTAGATATGACCTATATATTTTTCCTGTTATTATCTTCTGGCAGGTTTGTGCTCCACATTTGAAGTGGACTGGAGCGAAATATTCTTACATGCAGTTTTAGATCACAGAGTTTAGAAAATTGGAGAGAGCTAATGTCCCATCTCATTCCCTGGCTTGTGGTCTTAATTTCAAACACATTTATGTTACAGGAGACAGTGAGCTAAAGATACTGCTTGGTTTCCTTCCTCTGGTTTATCAAAGACTCAAGTGTCAAGGTTAGAGCATTGGTTCATAGGAACTTGTGTTTTCTTCAGGTACTCTTCACCAGTTTAATAACAGTGGTCTGATTTTGTTGTGAATGGCTCCTGGGGGCCCTGTTGGGTTCTGTAATGCAGAGGAGCATGCCTTTAAGCCTCAGGCTGTTCCAGAAGCAGGCCAGCACTGGCTATGCTGCCAAGATAGCTTTCCAAGAGTCTCTGTAAATTCGTGATTGGCCAGCTGCAAGATGTGGCTTTGTCTCTGCCTCTGAGGGACTTGTTTTTCCCCCCAGTTTTGAACATAGAATAATTTTTTCTTATGAACAACTTTGGTTTTTTTCTCTTTGAAGAAAGCTATTTGAAAATTAAAATTTTAGAAGAGACTTCTGAATTGATCAGTTACAGGCCTTACTTATGTAGGTAATGCAGAATTACTGGAAGATGACTGCTTCAGGTATTATAGCTTTTAGTTCGACAAGAACTGAATGCCAGGTATATATGGTAATTTGTATTCATTAGTCTCTTGGTGCGGGACTGGCAGCTTACTGTGTGTCCTTGTTACATGAGTGGATTCATAGTGTGTTAGGTAAAATGCGTGGCAGCAGATCCTTTGGTGTGCACACAGAGTTAGATTAGTATTTTGGTTTACTCTGCTGCTGTTTGATGAGTACACAGTGAGAAGAATAAAGAAAAGTTACAGCAATGAATGGTGTTCAGAAATTGGAGACATGAAAAAGGAAAGGTTTCATATTTTGTGTTAAGGGCTGATTCCATTCAGAACTGACTGCCTCATTGGCAGTTTACTTCAAATGTTGACTTTAGGATAGACGAAAGCCTTACCCTTGTTTTTGCTGCTTACTTTTGTCCAAATGGGATTATGCCCACCTTGAAATGTTTGAAAATCTGTTCTTTGATCTCTGGAGGAAAGCAGCATTTCGTGCCGTGCCCGTGTGCTTCACGGGATGCTATGAAGAGACCTTCGTATTCTCTTCCTCTTTAGCTTCTGCAGTTTCCCCCAAAGTTGCCCTGAGAAAACAGGCAAGCTGTGTGGAAACTGGGATCCCGATACACAAATATTCTACTCCTCCTTCCTCCTAAGGTTTGTATTAACAGGAAGCTGGAATCAAGCACTAGGGCTGGGAGTTGAAACTAGGCAGCCATCGTGGTGCAGCAGGTTCAGCTGCCCTGAATTCTTATTTTGTTTCTGATTCAGCACCCTGCTGGTGTACCTGGGAAGCAGTGGATGATCGCTCAGGTTACTGGCACTCATGTGGGAGACCCAGGTGGAATTCAGTCTGTCCAAGCCCTGACTGTTGTGCTCCTTTGGGAAGTGAGCCAGCAGATGGAACAATTTTTTATTTTTCAAATAAAAAAAATTTTTTTTAGTGAAACAAAAACAAGAGAACTTAAGAAGAAGCTAAGCGGGCCCGGCACGGTGGTGCAGTGGTTAAGGTCCTCGCCTTGCAAGCCCGGGATCCCTTATGGGCGCCGGTTCTATCCCGGCAGCCCCACTTCCTTTCCAGCTCCCTGCCTGTGGCCTGGGAAAACAGTCCAGGACAGCCCAAAGCCTTGGGACCCTGCACCCGCGTGGGAGACCCAGAAGAGGCTCCTGACTTCAGATTGGCATAGTATCAGCCATTGCGCTCACTTGGGGAGTGAATCATCGGACGGAAGATCTTCCTCTCTGTCTCTCCTCTCTGTATATCTGCCTTTCCAAT